GTTTTTATGTCAGCTATTTCAGCTTTGCAAAATCAGCTTATAATTTAGGACATCTACTTCTCTATAGATTGAAAGTTCATTAATAATTGTGAGATCTCTGCAATTCATTGTATTAGTCCGTTTTAAAAGGACACTTTTAAAGTGTATTTAAGTATTTAAGGCTCTTTTGGACAGTTCAACGTAAAAAAGAACAAAGAAGACGTATAAAGGTAACAACGGTTCCTGTTTGATTAATGTTACTTTATTATTAGGGCTGTCAAGGGCTGGCTTGCCCTGATTATGTTGGAGTGAGTACACTCAAAAAAGGACTTTGGCTGGCTGTTACATCAAATAAAATGTAACATGTATTTTCAACGTAATAATTTCATGTTTCCAAGATGAACGTGATGAAAACATGTATGGTTTGCATGAATCGCAACAACTTCACATTTATTCGATTCATTCATGTTGAGATAAATTGACACAAAGGGATTAGGGTACATATGATTCCCACTCCAGAGCAGAAGGTGGCGGTATAACCACCAATAAACTGGATACTGTAGTGCCGTGAAAAGAGAGTCGGAGGCGGTGTATTAAGAATGGAGTTCCAATCTTTATTATCCATTACTTTCAGAGAGGTTAACACATGCACTGCTCTGCCTGATGAGCTAGCAGGAATGGCAGCTAAAGCTACAGGTGTTCCCCACTAAAGGGTCCGTGTGGCAACACAATAAGCAAGGTGAATTATGTCCAATAACGTGTCACCACACAAGCCCCCCCAGAATTCACACATAAACAAAATCAGCATGGCGGGGAGGAACGACACGCCGACCCCCACGACTCCTGAGCACGGGAGTCGGAAAAGTGACTCCCGCCTGTGCGGCCCCCGGAAGGGGAGGGACCGGAACAACAGGTCTTAAATCCGTGACAGGGGACGAGGCCGGGGGGCGGCCCCGTCGCGGAGGTCGAGCCAGCACCACAGGCTGGTCCAAGTCCAGGTGAGCAGCCTTCACCCGGTCCACCGAGACGTGCTCGGCCTTGCCACCCAGGTCGACCACCAGGTGCTTGTCCCCGTGCTCCAAGACCCGGAAAGGCCCATCATAAGGGGGCTGCAGGGGGCCTCTGTGCGCATCGTGCCGGATGAACACGTGCTCCGCCGAGCGGAGCTCTGCGGGAACCTGGGACACCTGAGTACCGTGCTGAGTAGTAGGGATCGGAACAAAGGCCTCAGCGGCGTCACGCAGGAAAGCCCGCTGGGCCGACGCCGACCAGGGAGCCGATGCATTTGGGAGGAAATCCCCCGGAATTCTCAGCGGCTGACCGTAGACCATCTCCGCTGTAGAACACTGCAGATCTTCCTTAGGTGCGGTCCTCAGGCCCAGCATCACCCAGGGCAGCTTGTCGACCCAGTTACCGTCCGTAAGGCCGGCCTTGAGGGCCGCCTTCATGGAGCGATGAAAGCGCTCGCAGAGACCGTTAGCCTGAGGGTGGTAAGCGGTAGTCCTGTGCAGCTTAACCCCCAAACCGCCTGCCACAGCGTTCCAGAGCTCGGACGTGAACTGAGAGCCCCTGTCTGAGGAAATGTCTGACGGGGTGCCAAAACGACACACCCACGTTGCAATGAAGGCCCGGGCAACGTCTGCGGCTGATGTCGAAATGAGCGGAACCGCCTCCGGCCAACGGGTCGTCCTGTCCACCATGGTGAGGAGGTAGGAAAACCCCTGAGAGGAAGGCAACGGACCAACCAGGTCAATGTTGACGTGATCAAACCTCCTCTCAGGCACCAGGAAACGTTCCAACGGGGCCTTCGTGTGGCGGTGCACCTTAGCGCGTTGACAAGCCACGCACTCCCTGGCCCAAGTCCTCACGTCCCTTTTCAGTCCTTGCCAAACGAACTTCGCCGCTACCAAACGGACCGAAGGTTTAACGCCGGGGTGTGACAGGCCGTGCACAGCCTCGAACACAGGACGCCTCCAGCTGGCAGGGACGACAGGCCGCGCCAGGCCCGTAGAGACGTCACACAGGAGAGTAATGCCCGCGTCGCCGAACACCACGCCCTCCAAGCGCAGCCCCGCGCTCTCCACCTTCAGGGCCTGGACGCCGGGATCTGTGACCTGGTCTGCCGCCATGCGAGTATAGTCCAGGCCCAACTGGACGGCACCGATGACGACCCTGGAGAGGCAATCAGCAACCAGGTTCGACTTGCCAGCCACGTGCTTAATGTCCGTAGTGAACTCCGATATGTAGGACAGCTGCCGCTGCTGACGTGCCGACCAAGGCTCCGCCACTTTTGACATGGCAAAGGTCAGCGGCTTGTGGTCGACAAACGCCGTAAATTCACGGCCTTCCAGCATGAAACGGAAGTGCCGCACGGCCAAATAAAGTCCGAGGAGCTCCCGGTCAAAGGCGCTGTATTTGCGTTCTCTAGGCGTCAGCTGGCGGCTGAAAAAGGCGAGCGGCTGCCAAGCGCCCTCCACCCACTGCTCGTGCACTGCGCCGACCGCGTAGTCTGACGCGTCCGTGGTGATGGAGATGGGAGCCGTAGATGATGGGTGTGCCAGCAAAGCCGCCTGAGCCAACGCGGTCTTGACCTCAGCAAAAGCGCCGTCCGCCTCTGCTGTCCAGTCGATCTCCTGGATGCGGGTCTTGCCTTTCAACGCTTCATACAGCGGCCGCATGATGTGTGCGGCCCGGGCGATGAAACGGTGGTAGAAAGTCACCATCCCCAGAAACTCACGGAGCGACCGGGCTGTGAGCGGGCGAGGAAACGCCGCAACAGCCTCCACCTTCGCTGGCAGAGGTGTCGCACCGCCCTTGGTGACGCGGTGCCCCAGGAAATCGATGTCCGACACCCCGAACTGGCACTTTGCAGGATTGATGATTAATCCGTGTTCGTTGAGCCGTGTGAAAAGGGCTCGGAGGTGGGACAGGTGCTCCTGCACTGAAGCGCTGGCGACGAGTATGTCGTCGAGGTAAACAAACACAAACGGCAGGTCCCGCAGCACCGAATCCATCAGGCGCTGGAACGTCTGAGCGGCATTCTTGAGTCCAAAAGGCATCCGCAGGAACTCAAAAAGTCCAAAAGGCGTTATCACTGCTGTCTTGGGAATGTCCAGGGGGTGCATGGGCACCTGGTGGTATCCACGCACCAGGTCCACCTTGGAAAACACCCCCGTACCGGCCAGATGCGCCGAAAAGTCCTGAATGTGCGGCACCGGATAGCGGTCAGGCGTAGTGGCGTCGTTGAGTCGGCGGTAATCCCCGCACGGGCGGAACCCGCCGTTCGATTTGGGAACGACGTGCAGGGGGGAAGCCCAAGGACTGTCGGAGCGGCGGACAATGCCCAGGCGCTCCATGGTTGCGAACTCCGCCCTCGCTACAGCCAGCTTAGAAGGGTTCAACCGCCGGGCCCTGGCGTAGACAGGAGGCCCTCCGGTAGTGACGTGGTGTTCCACGCCATGCTTAGTGGTAAGCGCAGAGAAGGTGGGTAGCGACAAGTCTGGAAACTCGGCCAACAGTCTGAGAAACGTGTCTGCACCTGACAGCGAGCCTGACAGCCCGTCGTACGCTGCGCTGCCAAGTGTGCACACAAGGGAAGAAAACGTTAAGGCATCAACCAAACGCCTATTCTTAACGTCCACTAAGAGTCCATGAGCACACAAAAAATCCGCTCCGAGGAGGGGAAAAGAAATGTCCGCTGTCACAAAATCCCAGCTGAAACGCTGTCCTCCGATGCACAAAAACATAGGCCTCACGCCGTACGTGCGAATGGGACTGCCGTTAGCCGTCGTCAATCGCGGTCCGTGCCCCCCACGGGCGACGTCTTCACTCGACGCTGGAACTACGCTCCGTTGAGCGCCCGTGTCACACAGAAACAGGCTCCCCGAAACGCTGTCGCTGACGAAGAGGAGCCTGCACGTGCCGCCGACGCTCAGAGCCACTACTGAGCGCCGGCCCCTCCGTTTCCCGGGGGTTTGTAGCTGCACGGAGCGATGCATCTCTTCGCCCTTGTCCCGAAACGTGCGTGGTAAACGCACTCTCCGGCGTCTCCACGCCGGCTAGCCACAGCCGTGTCCGGCCTCCGCCACGCTTTCTTGACTGCCGGTGGGCCGCTGAGCGTCGCGGCTAACGTCTCTGCCCCGGGCTGTTGCGTAGCCAGGAAAAAACGATCCGCTTCCTCAGCCAAAGCACGGGGCTCCGTGACAGGCGTGTTGGCCAGCGCCGTCTGTACCCGGGGAGGCAAGTGACGCAGGAAAATCTCCGTGAATAAAATACGGGGATCTTCCCCCCCTAGCAGATTTAGCATTTTCTCCATTAGCTGGGATGGCTTGCTGTCTCCTAGGCCTTGAATGTCAAGTATCTGGCGGGCCCTCTCCTTAGCAGATAAGCTAAATGTCTTAAGGAGAAGGGCCTTAATCGCCTCATATTTGCCATGATGTGGGGGGGCTGCGATGAATCCCACCAACCTGGACGACGTGGAGCTCCCCAGCGCTGCTACCACATGGTAGTATTTTAGGTCCCCGTCACGGACCTGTCGGCAGGCGAAATGTGCCTCCACGTGTGCGAACCATGCCTCCGCGGTGTGCTCCCAGAATTCCGGCAGCTTTATGAAAACATCGCGCTCAGCCATGTTCGTTAATTTTCCGGAAACTTTCTCGGAAAAGTCAGGGTCACCAGTGTAGTGCCGTGAAAAGAGAGTCGGAGGCGGTGTATTAAGAATGGAGTTCCAATCTTTATTATCCATTACTTTCAGAGAGGTTAACACATGCACTGCTCTGCCTGATGAGCTAGCAGGAATGGCAGCTAAAGCTACAGGTGTTCCCCACTAAAGGGTCCGTGTGGCAACACAATAAGCAAGGTGAATTATGTCCAATAACGTGTCACCACAATACCAACTAATGTAATCAGAGACACAAATCAATCTACTTTTAAATGTTCACGGTTGTAAAGATGTGAAACGACAAACAATAAGACATGCTACATTATTGACTGCTCTTGGACACTTCCATGGATGCATTAAGAGAACTCTGCCAGACTCTGTCATTGTTTTATTTTGTCCGCGATCTGGCGGGAAAGGTTTTTCCCTGCATCCTGTGTGCACTCGCGATATTTGGGCTTAACCGTAAACTTAACCATCATCATCGCGAGAGAGGATCATTGAGACAAGAAAGACCGATGGCGAAAGTTGGAGGAGGTAAGCAGAAAACATTGTCATCTAACTGTGAAGCTGTTAATAAATGTCATCAACTGCTAGTCCATGAGCGATATTGTGGTAACGTTGATAGTTAATTTGTTATTTAGTGTTCTTTTTTATCTCACTTAAAAAGCCGAATGAGCCGACGAACATGCTAAAGCTAACGTCGTTAACTAGCTAGTCTGTGTAACTGCCAGTTAGGGAGATGGTTCAAATATAGAATATCAGGATTGAAAACTAAATGACGGAAACATTACCCTGAGAAAGTTAAACGAAAAGTGTGCTACCCCAGGCGCTTATATGTCAGTAATATCAGCCCCTTTTACAAAGGAATGTTGCGCCGTTATTCAGCTGCGTCACGTAAATTAGCTGCCAAGCTAGCTGCCATGCGGAGCTGACTGCCACTGTGGTTTTCGCTCTGCAGTTAAAGTTACGTGACGGGTGCCGCTCTGCTAGTGTCGGTAGTCGCACTCTCTGTCTCTCCGCTATATCTCCCTGCTCAGCATATAGTTATGTTCGGCTCTGTAACTGCACCCCCGGGCCAGTAACCTACATGCTGCCTGCACTGCAGTGACAAAGAGCCGGCTGAAAATCGGCAACGTTTCCTTAATATTCCTCGATTTTAAATATTGATGTCCACACATTTTCAGTAATAATGTTGTCAGGCACTTAATAATAATAATACGTGTGCCTATCAGTGGCAAAAACAAGCACTTCAACTTTGAGTAATATAGGATAATGTAACAATTCAGTAGGGTACCGAGCCCCGGTATTAATCAAAGGAGTCCCGGGAATTAATTATTAAAGACTCTGGTGCCATTAAGCTCCAATGTTATCAGTCTTTGTATCGGTACTGAAGATATTTAAAACATGTTATATGTATTATGCTACACAAACATTATATTGCAGTTTTAGTTTTGCCAACTCCGTTTTTAATATGCAAAATGCGTCTGATTTATTTTGAGTATTTTCGATCTTTCCAATCCAGCGTCTCTGTGCGAGGGGGCGGGGCAGTTTACATACGCGACTGCTACATGCAGCACACACACACACCTCCAATTATCTGTTTGAATCCTAAAATCCCATGTGTGAATATATAAGAGCGAGAGATTCAGTATTAGCGTTGATGCTTTTGTCTTTAGGTCTACGGACCATTGGTGATCACCAAACTGGACCTGATGGATGAAGGGACAGATGCACGAGACATCCTGGAAAACAAACCACTGCCGCTCCACAGAGGTGAGAACCCCCCCACATGCACACATTTTATTAAATCCTTGATTGGAATCCAGCTATTACATTACAATATTTACAGACTTTATATACTACCCAAAACAGGGTGTCTTTTCTTTAGCGGTCAGCAAATCATCAATCTGCATTATTTTCCCTGTAATTCCTGACATTGAAATTAAACAATTACTATGGTGTTAAATTGACTAACAGCTTTATTTGTATTGTTCCACATGTGAACAGTTCTCCAATTGTAGAAGTTATAATAATTTAATATTTGGTCGCAAGTGCTTTGGAATCAACGTTTGTCTTTATTCCATAACTCACATTGAACAACTGATATTTGTCTTTCTTTAGGTTACATCGGGGTGGTGAACCGCAGTCAGAAGGACATTGATGGAAAGAAAGACATCCGCGCTGCTTTGGCTGCTGAGAGGAAGTTCTTCCTGTCCCACCCGGGGTACAGACACATTGCAGAACGCATGGGCACACCACACCTGCAGAAGACCCTCAATCAGGTGAGACACACACGCAGGGCCGTCCCTCCCTACAGGCCGATCATGCAGGCTGGAAACTAGAGCATCACTCGAAGATGGGTTATTGTATGAGTAAAATGTCAAACTTTTGCCAATTGCCATATTAAAACATCAGCTGCAATTCACAACATGAAGAAGGCAGTCTCTGCATAGCGCATATAGGCTAATGGAGATGCAGTTATTTCCAGCATTCTTTATTTACCATTCATTCAAGTATTTTATGCCTTTTTATCTGCTAATGTAAATACATGATTTATGCAATTGCATGTCTTAAACGGACTGAACTGCTAAATCAAACCTGTGAACAGTGACATCAAAATAGCCAATCTGAGTTTTGTGGGTTTTGTTTTGTTGTTGTAGGTGAATGCGGAATTTAAGAGAATCACAACAATTAAATTGCAATCCAAGTTCTTCTCTTCGCTGGATATTCACTCTACAAGCCTGATCGACGTGTATACCAAGAAAGGTGGAGTTCAAGGGAAGAAGATCAAAAGCATCATGCTTCCCATAACCCAGGTATGAAAACAATGTAAAGGTGACAAAGAAACTGTAGGAGCTGTACAAAGTCTACGATGTTCCGTGAATAGCATAGCATCCGGAGCATTATTTTTTCGATATTATTTTTGACACTTAGCACCACATCCATTCCCCCAGTGGGGGTCATTGTATCAGAGTGAGCGGCATACTATTATGAAGGCCTAAAATAACGCACTACAAAGCTGTCCCTGACAGCAGTCTTTCATGGAAATGGCAGATGTTCCTACCCCAATGGTCACTGAGTGTACTGTAGGGCTGCAGCCAGGGGCGGCGGGTAATGTAGGCTAGGGAAGGCTAAGCCTTCGCAAATATTTTTGTCACTGCATCCTGGTAAAATAAAAATATAATGTTTGTGTCTTTGACATTAGCGCTGCTATGCAGCCACCAGTAAACTGTACTACGAAGCCAGTTCAACATACCCTGGATATGTTTGAGTTATCTTAACTAACCCTAACAAACGAGATCTCGCTAAGCGGTCCTACAACGCTGGTTATCAACTCTGTAAATCAAGCCAGGGATTCTCTCTCCAGCTGAGAGCGCATTCATGTGAAAGGGGCGGGGTTAGCTACATTTTACCAATCACACACAGGGACAAGTGTACTGCGCAGCGTCATACTTCAGTAATGAAAAGTAAACTAATATTAGACAAATATGAGCTTTAACCATCCATGACTTAAACATATAATCCAGGATACAAGCCACATAGTTGCACCTGCAAGGTGAATATAGAACAACTGGTTAAAAAATAAATAAACTACAGAGCGTTTGAAAGCGTACAACAGTTTTATGATATCACTGCCCCATAGACACGAGTGGATCTGACTTTAATTACATTTGAGTTGAGTGTTTCGTCAACCCAATGTGTTGCTTAAAATAATACTTCTGCATCCAGTATGTGACACTGTAAGTGTTGCACGGCCTGATACGGCTCAGCTGACTCAGATAAGGAAATATATATTATCTGATCGATGATCTGATTGATGATGTCATATGAATGATACGTGCGACACGTCGCCGTCTTCCCTGCATACGGCAGTTTAAACTGTATTTCCTTTATCCTGTAATATGACGTGATAGATTTAAACTCCGCACACTGAGCTCTGATTGGTCACTGAGTTGATCTATTTTCTATACACGCCGGTGGCGGGCAGCGTCAGGTAAAAAAAGTTATTTAGCCTTCCCAAACCTGAGCCTCACGCGCCGCCTATGACTGCAGCTATCAATTATTTTAGTAATCGAGTATTCTATCAATTATTCCATTGATTAATCGAGTAATTGCAGTGCATGACATTAAGGATTTTGGGAGATGGCCCTGTGGGCCATCTAAGCTAATTTACAGATGGCCCTGAGCCCAATAGAGATTGCCCTGAAAAATGCGCGCGGACGAAATGGCACGAAGGGTTTGGGGGGCCGCCGTCCCTAGAAAATTTAGATTTGTGCAGGTCTTAGATGCTGTCTGGTGCATTCTCTAGACTGAATTATAAGATGAACCACCACAATATTATATTGTACAATTTCAATTGTATTCTTCATTTCACTTGTTTGTTTGTTCTTGTTTGTGTTTGCTCGCTTGCATGCCCTGCATAGCTATAAGAAATACTTAAGTTGTTGGTCAAGACACTTTCCATCTGATGAAGGCAAATGCCTTCCCAGATGTAAAAAAGTAGAAAACATTACATTCAGTTGTAACTGCCAAAACAAACATTATTTACACTAGTATGGCCCCTGTTAAAAATGTTTGTAATGTTATCTACTGTAAGTTGGTCGAACGAATGCCTCCTCATCCGGAAGCTGACCGAGCAGACCCGAGCAGCAGTCGAGAGGAGCCGAGCGCATCCGCGAACCACACAAAATGGCGACGTCAGAGTTCCCGTTAGCCTGCAAATCTAAATCTCTTCGGTCAAAATAATTTCCCTTTAGCGCAATACCGCTTCAGTTGCGCCACTTATGTGACAGACAAGAAGAGTATGTGACAGACAAGAATAGTCAATTATAATGTCTAACACTTAATGTGGAGAAAGAGATATCCTGGATGGGTTGATTGTGCGTTGATCTGTTGGTAATGCCTCGGGGTTCCGGTGGGCATGTAAACAAATGCATAATGCTGCGCTATACTTTGTGGCCTCACCCAGTTGCATAGCGATGCTTATTGTTTAGGTGTCTTTTAATAAGCAGGTAGTCCTATCATTAGCTAGAACTAGCTGGATCTGATCGATATGGACATAAACGCGAGTGAAGTCTAATCTGACGGGAGAGAGAGATCAGATGAGCAGGCTGACGAGTCGACACGCAGCTCTGCATGATCACATGCAGCGGTGAGCGGACAAAACACACACTTCAGGTTAGAATATCACACGTAGCTATTTTAATTACCTCTCAAACTACCGTAACTAGTTATAGATATGTTTAGTTTTACTGCCGGGTCACTCATTACTGGATCCGCGAGCTGCATGATACTGGCACAATAGATTGCCCGATCGGGCAACCAGCAGGTGAGGCTTCATTGCCCGAGCTAAATACTAGATGGCCCCGGGCCATCGGGCAGTCCTTAATGTCGAGCCCTGAATTGGAAACAGATTAGCTTTTTAAAGCAAAAGTATTTCTTCAATAAAAAGCCATTTTAAATATTCAAAATAAGACAGGTCTTCTCAAATGAACAACTAATTATTTTCCTTTTTTAGAAAAATGTATTGCTTAAATTGCATAGCATATTATCTGACTAAACCCATTTAATTAAAGTGCAATATTACATTCAGGGTTTTAAAGAAAACATTTGTGAAACGGTGAAACCCAGACTGCTTGTTGTTCATAATGGGCTTTTTTATTGCATGTTCTCTGACCTGCATACTTAGACTAACAGCATTGACGTGAGACGCGAATGCATCCTCAAAGGTCTTTGTGTCTACTTCAATGAAGATCCAGAGAAGCTGGTGAAGGAATACATGGTATGTTGATGTACCTTTTTTATCTTCACAAAGTAGGGCTGGGCGATTTGGCCTAAAAATAAAATCGCGATTTTTTTTCTAACTAATGGACAATTTTCGATTTAAACCTCGATTTTTTTCTATTTTTTTCTAAACAAACCAGACCAAGGCTCTTTTAAGTGAACGACGGGAGCCGGCTCTCGCCCGCGAACGAGCCGTTTTTTTTGCGGAGGGATCTAGATCGGCATGAAGGCACATTATGCAATGTGCACATCATCCCGCTTATTACACATGGCCACATTCTCAACAAAGTAACGACATGACTCCCAATATTAATTGAATTGCTTTTATGGATTTAGAAAATGATTTTATTGACTTAAAAAATAGTTTTATGTATTGATTTAAATTGACAAGCATCCGCTAAGAAAAGTAGTCCGTTGTTACTGTTTGAACTAACGTAGCAACGGCAGGAACTGCTTCGATAGTGTTTTTGAGGAGCTTTTTGATTACAGATTTGAAAACATCGTTGCTTGCTTTAAAAGTAGCACACTTCATGATGTCAGACCTTGGGAAGTATCTAGATATCCCTGCCCTAATGCCAAAGTAACTGCCAACTGAATATGTGTCGCCGTTTGATGTCTATGTCTGGACCGCTGCGTAAAAAGGAGGGTTTCTGCCCCATTACTTCTCTTCTTACTTCTATAAGAATAAAACACGGAGGACGGAGATCTCTTTTCCTCCCCCTCTACAGACCGCCCAGCAGCTGATCTCAGAGCACGCTCCCCTCTCCTGCAGGGGGGCGTGGTCAGCTGCAGCTCACAGAATCAGCCCCCTGCAAAAACAGCACTGGAAAAAGCAAATGGAGCGAAATGAGGCATGGCTAAAATGCAAGATATTTTTGGTATTTTGAAGAAATTTTTTTTTTTTATATACTTTATATAGGTCGATACAGTAGCCCCTTTTTTTTTAATAGTTTGTATAGGTGTTGCTATCTGTTTTGTGTAGCGTGGTTCTACAAGCAAGTCAATGCATTCATTGGGTGGTATCAGATTTACACGGGTCTGTAAATGCAATGAAAACAATTGGCCACAGCAAATCATTTATATTAAACTTTATTTACTTTATTTACTCTTGAATACTTCAGTACAAAGGATGTATTGAATAATTTAAGTGATATATGTGTACACAGAGCTGCAGATCGGGTAGTCACAGGCAATGTGGCTGAGTTTTGTGCGCGTTCTGGAAAGTGAGAGAGTAAGCTACTACGGAGTCCCTTAAAGCAAAACAAATCTGCGGAGTCTAGAAATGTTTTTAAATCGCGATTTTTTTCGGTTCAGCCATTTCACAAACCGTAAGAAAGTAAAAAAGCAAATTAATCGTTAAAACAGAAAAAATCGCCCAGCCCTATCACAAAGAGGAGGATGATCATAGTTTGAATGGATTGTATTTCTTCTAAAACTAACCCTTAGGGAAATGTTGCCTTTACATTTTGATGATGTTGGATGTAAAAGCTCAATATGACCGATTATAGAAATGGGATGTAATGCACATCAGTGAAAATCACTCTCCTTATTTGTTTTTCACAGAGCATCGACAACAGCAGTCAAACAGCAATGGCAGAGACGGTCTTCGGAATATTTGTCATTCGACACGAAGGTGCAGAGCCTGGGGATGACCCCGAGAACGTTGGGATCATTCTGGAGGGGCTCGAAGTGTTGGATGAGTTGGGAAACGTATCTTTTGCGGTGGCGATGATGTTTGCTCTCGTGTATGCTCTAAACTTGAGCTACCCTCCAGAGCTGAAGTTTACATTTGAAGCACTGCAGAAAATAATGATGGAGCTAGATGGAAACAGACTATCCACAAAAGGACAAGTTCTCAAAACATTGCTTTCCCGTGCCTAATGTCACTGTTTGGGATCGCCTCATCTTCCAAACACGCAGCCATCAGAGATTCGGTGACTCACCTCTTTGACAGAAATGTTGATTATATGCAAGAAGTATAAAAGTAAGCATTCAAAGTTGGCTGTAGCATGGTTACGTGGACCTCACTGAGCAGAGGGCTGTGCGAGGAGGCAGATGTTACCATGTTGCCTTATTTGGTCTACTGTTGAAACTCAAGTTTGTTATACTGTTCACCCTAAAGTTGAAACATTTTAATATTTGAGAAGAAACTGTGTTTTTTCAAGCATCTGTCAGTATAAAGCTATTTTGTGAAATATATATTCACTGTTATATTTAATAACAGTGAAAGACAGTCTGCTTGTTGGCTGAGATGGTGTTCTTAATGGGCTTTTTTTATTGCATGTTCTCTAATCTGCATACTTAGACTGACAGCAATGACGTGAGACGCGAATGCATCCTCGTATTATATTTCATATAATATTTGGGAAGAAACTTAATTTTTTCAAGCATCTGAAGCATTGTTTCTCTTTGCCTATTTTGTGAAATACAATTTTATATTTCAACATCTCGCGTTTGTGTTATGTTTCCACCCTTGAAGCTCACTAGACTGTAGACCATGGGTCGGCAACAGGCGGCCCGCGGGCCATTGTTGGCCCGCCAGCAATACTATTTGGCCCGTAATTTTGAGAATCAAAAATAAAATATTCTTTTTGAATTCTATTTTTTTTTTACAACATAGGACCAGAGAGTCGCACATCAGGGTTTCCGTTAGCCGGTAATTACCGGTTTTTATCTGGTAAAATTCATTAAAAACCGGTAAATTCAAAACCTGCTGGTCAAAATTAGGGATGCTCCGATCGATCGGCCGCCGGTCATTATCAGCCGATATTCACTCTTAATAGTTTGATCGGTGCTCTCTAAAGGCCGATCAGGAGAGCTGGATCTGATCGATATGGACATAAACACGAGTGAAGTATAACCGGACCCGAGAGAGAGATCAGATCAGCTGCTGCATAATCACCTGAAGCCCCGCCCACTGTTTAGCACGCTGCATGAGAAACTGACGGGCTGTCAGGAGAGAGAGGGAGGGAGAGAGGAAAAGAGAGGCTCCGTTTCTCCCGTGTTATTATCCAAAGTTAATGTAAACTTTTGAATAATGTACTTCATCTACTACAAGTAGTTTGTTTGAATGTAATAATTATGTTGTTTGTGGAATCATTTATTGAAAAATGAATCTGATTCGGCGGTTAATCTGTAACGATTATAAACTGAAGCAATATAAAAATTACTCCCATTAACTGAGTTTTAAACATCAGCATATCCTGTCATAGTCCGGTGATTACCTGCTAACGGAAACTTTGCTACACAATTCTTATTATTATTGAAACATGACCGGTAAGTTTCAAATTTGTCCGGTAAAATAAATTCTGTCCCGACATATCCGCTTACATTCATAATATCAGCGGAGGGAGGGGAAGCGGTGCTGTGGAAGAGCAGAGTGGCGAGGGAGAGCTGTCATCTTCCCTTTACAAGCTTCAAACATGTATTTATCGGGTGATTTTGGAAATAAAAGTTCCATATTCTGAAAGCCAATACTTTGTTTATTTAAAATCAAACAAAACACCCGAATCCCGAAAAACTATTTTTTTACGCAAATCCACATTTATTTTGAAATGAGCCGTTGCGACTTCCGACTGATTTCGATAGAGCGGGTCACATATGGCAAATGTGTGGTTGTGGGGAACCAGGTCAATTAAAGTACTTATTTAACTATTAAATACATTGAGTTTGAGTAAAATACTTGGTTACTGATTAATTTAGGTTATAATATATTAAATTGCAAAGCAAAACATGCTGTAATTGATTTATTTTGTCCTTTGATATTTTTTAAAGGTTTTCAACCTGAAAGAATCCTAATGTGTCCTTGAAAAGTTGAAATAAAGAAAAGGAAAAAGGATTCTCTGTTGCCCCGCAAGCCTCTCAAATGTGGGCAAACACTCAAATAAATGCCAAAAACCCAGAGAACTTGACAATACTTATCAGAATATGTTAATTAACACTGCTACCTAGTTAATAACTTTACTCAGTGGAGGCTCGTCCATTGAGGAAAGGGCGGACCATCCTCCCTAAAATTTCAGAGAAAAATAAACTTTGAAGAGAACAATAACTACACCTCAATTTAAAAGATAAGTCTGTTAAAATACAGATAATAGCCCTGGCTTTGGGACTGAAATGGAGAAAGGACGAGCCTCCCTTTGGGCGGGTCTAGCCAGAGGCTCTGGATTGGGCGCCTATTGAACCAATCAGCGGATCTGACTGCGCATCAGAGTGTTGATGGGGACGGTTATCAGCGATATCAGCGTTCTTTCTGAACCGGGGAACAGGGGCTCTTGCCTCTTACCAAAATCAATTCCTTGAATTAGGCTTTGATTATGTTCTGGCCCGCCATCTTGTGGCTCAGCAAAAAATTGGCCCAAGGCCAAACTTACTTGCCTACCCCTGCTGTAGACTGTTGAAATTCTGTTTCTGTTACTGTTCACTCTAAACGTTTTAAATATGTAAACACTCAAAAGTTATTCTTTGAATGAACTTGATTAAATCATGGACAGTATTTCCACATGATGAAATGGCTTTCTTTCAGCTTTAAGCAATTACGTTGACCCAACCCAGGTCAATTAAGTTGGTAACACACCTTATAAATAAGTAGTATCAATCCTAATAGATTACGTTGACCCAACCCAAGTAAATTAAGTTGGTAACACACCTTATAAATAAGTAGTATCAATCCTAATAGATTGCGTTGACCCAACCCAAGTAAATTAAGTTGGACCAATCAAATTGCTTAATCTTGAAAGAAAGTGATTTAATCATGTGGAAATATTGTCCATGATTTAATTACGTTCATTCAAAGAGTTATTTTTTTGAGTGTACAGGCAAGCTTTCAGAGTTCACTAGAAGGACAGTGTTAAACTCCACTGACTTTAAACATCAAAGTGTGTTTACAGGTCTTGGAGTATTGCTGCATATTTGAAAAATCACGTTGTAAAGCCACGTTGTGTCTCCAGAGGGAGCAGCTAAATCTGATGAATTACCCAAAGTTATTTCACCTGATGAACATTGGTTAAAAAAAGAAAAAAGGATTTTGTGCTAGAATAATATATCTTAATTCCCGTCTGAATTTTGCATTGTTGGTATTGCAAAGTATGGACAAGGAAAGAAAATGCATGGACAAATAAACATCTCTGGTTCTGCTGCAACAACTTTGATCCTTTTTATTTTAGTCTCCAATGTGAGTCTAACAAAAGTACAGGAGTGAAGTGCCATCATAAACTGTGGAGTATACCCTACCATTTTAATGATCTCAATAGAGTTTAACTGCTGAACAGAATGTATTGCCTTTTTTCTGACTTTACCACAACAAGATCCTTTGGGGAAGCTAGCCGCTGACTCAACAGGACTGTTTTGAATGTGCAGAAGCAGTAGACTGTTTTACCCCTCCAGATGTTTATAATAGTACAGTAAGCGTACCAGACTCATTCCTATCTTTTATGTGTTTACCTGCTCACAGTTACTGTCTCCTCCTCCAATGGGTGTTTTTGTTTACGACTTGCATGGGTGTAAAGGTAGGGGGTGGTTTCAGGCTGACATCATTTACTGATTGGAGCATGTGGAATACACACTTACTATCTTGTACACGCACATGCAAGACATGCCCTTTCAGATGTAACATACGAAAATACAAATTAAGTTTTCTGGAAGAGATTCAGAAGAACAGTCTAATTTTCCATTTAATGTTACCCTTGAAAAGCTGGCTTCCTGCTACGATGAGTGGATTGAGTAATTGTATGTTAATGTCAGCGGCAATACACTTCTCACTGTCAGTAACTATGGCACGCAGAGTGAAACTAATTTGAATTCATGTTGATGCCTATTTTTTGACTGCAGTATCTGATTAAGAGTCACACCATCAGTGAATTCAATGGTATGTTCAGAATATAAAGAGCACTTCCACCTCAGCTAATCCCAATCCAACTGGATGTCCTGATAACAAATGTGAAGAGTATCTTAAAGGTCCCATGTCATGCTTTTCCGGTTATTACCCGTCCCCTTGTGTGTTATGAAGGTTTTTATGCATGTAAACCGTCTGCAAAGTCACAAACCCTCAAAGTACACCCTGTAGCGAGTAAAACTCTAACACAGAAAATACCTGTCTATGCTGCCCCAGAACACCTCGTTGGAGATTTCTCTTTTTCAATTTTTTTCTTCCGGGAACCAAGGCGGGACACGGCGAGGCTGTGAGTCGGTGTGTGAGCACACACATACTCCCAGCCAGGCTGCGGGTGTGTGTGTGTGTTCGGGCTGGTTTCGGGCTGGGTTTCGCTGTGTCTCGCCGTCTCGCAGACGGCCACTGGGCTCATAGGGAGGGGGGGGGTAGGAGCTCCAACAAGCCGTTTAGGACAGAGAGTGAATACACATACTATACAGAGATGCTGTATGATAAACCAATGAGATTTTGGAAAATTGCACGATATAAATCTATTTTAGTAGACCTCAACAATGGAATTATGATCAGTAGAAATGGCCATGACATGGGACCTTTAACACCTCTTTTCAGTTCTTTCTTATGAAAGGAAAGCTATTAACAACCTTGAAATGCGATCAACTCATTAGGTTCATTTTCCTTATATGTGCAATGATGTCAAGAGTACATTCAAAAAAAGGAAAATACACAATACATAATTGACAGGAAATACAAGTAAAACAACAATTTAACAGCACATAATCCATGGCCAACACATTTGAAACAGTAAATAATTGTAGACGTCATTGCATAGTTTAAATGCCACATAGACAAAGCACTATTTGTCCTACATACACTGTAGGTCAATTCAGTTTCTGCTCGACACAACGCTGCGTTGGATTTACTCACACATCAAGCACAACATTGATGAGAATGATCATCTTATAAGAAGTCTTTCTTGTGAGGAACCATGAAAAGCAGATGACTATTTTTTTTGACCAAGCTTTGGAGCGTCTAAAAACAAAATGCTAACAAATCCTGGCTGCGATGGTAAACCTGTTCACTCTGCAGTCACTTTGTTGTCAGCTAATTGGTGTTTGTAGGGCTGATCTCTTCCAAAAACCCTGTTCTGCCGCTATTAGATCAGATTGCCTTGTCATCTATTGAATTCAAAGGTCACTGTGATCAGTTGACTTGTGTGTAGCTTCGCGCCTTGCTCTCTATGTAAAGCAGATACTAACACTGAGATCTGAATCTTTTGACATAACTTTTATTGCAGGGAGACAATATACACATAACTAGAACATCTGTATTGCAGATAGGAGTGGAGTTGTGCTGTGATATTTCCATTGCTTTCGGGCAGAAATGTTGCAAGAAAACAACCGAATGTACGCAAGGGATGTTAGACAAGTTACCACAAAAAATTATGTAAAGTGAAGTTGGGTTATGTATACATACATATCATTAAATAATATGTGCGATGCTGAATCTGTTTTTAAGTTTTTCAAGTGTATTAGTCAATTATATAATATTAACAGTAATGTTTTGTAGTATCACATGGTGTGTTACAACTGTTGTACTCTGAGCTTTCGCGCCATAAAACTCTGTTCATAAGAGTTTTTCATATACAGTATTATACAGTATAGTTCACAGTAGTTCCAGAGCTGTAGATGGACATGATACATAATTGCAACCAAAATCATAGTGGTTTGCTTTAAACTGCTATCTACACAGCTGTGGGCCTGTCTGATGGTGATGGATGACTTTCAAAGAATGTGCTTTTGGCTCCAACACACATTATATACAAAACTGATTTATGGTTAAGTACGTTGAAAGAAAAATCAGAGGCTTGCTACCGTGCTAAGTTATTAGATTTTTAACAGCACTTGTTATTATGCAGAGGTGTTTTCATGTCAACAATAAAGGTCATTTAATGTCATCCCGTTGTGTTATAATTTTTCTTTTATGTATTCTGCTACAATTAAGTAAGCTTCGCACTTAAAAAATGACACTCCTTGTGTGTTTTGGAAGAACATGTGTGTGCTTTATCATGTATTTTAAGCCTTAGTTAATGTCTCAATAGCATTTCTTTCTGGAATACTACAATACATTTAATACTTAGCTATGTTTATGGATTAGTTCTTAAAAGCTTAATTTGGTTGAGCCGGAAAGCTTTAAAGTTTTTTTTGTGCAGCTTAACACAAATCCTGATCTACAAAGAGCAATAACTTGTTTTTGTTCTGTCTAGAAATCCTTCCTCGCTGTGTCATTTTCATCCTTCCTCCTACAAGTTTCCGACTCATTGTCTAGCCCAGCTTTTCTCTGCTTCAGAGAAAAAATACCAAAGGGTGTGAACTGCCTGTTCTATTTTATAAAAAAAATCCTTTCTTCCCGTTTGTACTTCCTTCCTTCCTTCCTCACTGAGATTCCTCCTCCTTCTCTGACACAACTCAGTTGTTGTGTTAGATAAGTCCTGCTGCACAAATATTATGGATCATTTTTTGGGAGAACACTGTGACTGCTGAGAAACATGCTAACTTAGACGTGATCTAGTTCCTTTTTTACACTTTCATTCTTTGACCAGAAAGTGGACCATAGTTACACTGTAACCTTTGTCTCGTGTAGGTCAATGCACTGGCATTTTATGATGCTGTCATAAAACAGCACCTATCTTAATAGCACTCAATACAATGTAGATTACCTGATAATGCTGCTAAACCTTTGCAAACCAAAGTTTATAGAAATCCCAAAATACATACTTCATAAACACTACACAGATTTCCAATTAAATGTAATTGCAATAACATGAATATTAATAATTAATTATATTAAATTCTACAAAAATCCCCAACTGTATCTAATGATAGAGGGCAGCCAAATCAACAAGTGTCAATGTTTGCAAAATTAAAGAAGAAAAGTATTAATAAGGGAGTAACAAAAACTCAGTTACTGAATGTAATGAATGTCAACACTGAAGACAACATTATTGTTCATATCCTTCACAATAATAAAAACTGCAGGAGCAACAACAGCTATAATGCTTTATATTATAATTTTTATTTGATTTACAGTGGCAATTTAAGAACAAATTGGCAATAGCTTGAGCCTTAATACTCATGCTGCATCCCGATTACAAAGTAGGGCTTTTTCAAAGGGCCTGTAGGCCGCTCAGCACTCGCATGTTCATTAGACTGGGTTTGGCAAGTAGTTACCCTGCAAGGTTAGAGATTTTAGCAGAGAAGGGAGTGAAAACAAATCTGTTTCCAGGCAATTACACAATGGAAATGTCTGCTTTCTTTTACTCAAACTACCTGTATTGATATTGCACTAAAAACTCAAAGGGTTCGGAAATGTGCCCCTTTGGATTAAGTGGAGGGCCCTGGCTGCCTATCAAAAGTCCTGCAGACCCACATGTTAGATTTTAACATGTTTTACCCATGTGTCTCAAACCTTATTTATAAATATGATAAAAGACAGAAAATATCCAAGAAATACATGGAATAAAAATAAATGGCTTTTAATCAATGTACATCCACATAAAGCTGTCTTCACAGCAGCACAGTCAATGGAATAGTGTCATTTACTACGAATACAGAGTAAGGTGTATTACACAACCACGTTAACATACTTCTTCATGAATTCCCAGTTGCACGTATGCACATGAAGCACAACACATCCAGTTTTTTTTTTAAATGAGTAAATAGGATCACCTATTGTCACCCAGCAATAAAAACTCACAGTGTTCCCTGGGATGTTTTGAGAACAGTGTGGATTTGTCAGGCCCTGGGGAGCTCCTGCCTCTCTCTAGCCACACTAGCTCTTAATGAGACATCGACATGCACAGGACACACTCTGCTCCTTCTAATTAAATGACTTGCATGGAGGGCCACACCTGCCCGCCCCCCCTTTCCTTTTCCTTCTTTCTTCTTTTGGCTTGTTGGTTTGCATCTTCCTATCTGTGTTTCTCTTCTTGTGCCCGTCTGCACCGTCTAGACTGTTTACTTCCTTTGCTCCCCTATCTTCCTCCTCTTTTTCCCAAGTTGACTCACACATTACTTGAATTACTTATTGTTCTGGTGAAGGTGAATTTGTGTTGTAATCAAGTAAGCCCGTGCATTAAGGGGATTGGGACTATATTAAAAGATCATAATTAAACTAGTAAAGTCTATTAATGAAGAACAATGTTGTGCCTATCATGGCCTCTCTTTTAAAATATGTTACGTTTTCTTTGTATTTTATAGTTAGTTAATCAACAGAAAATACATTTAGGAATTTTGATTTTAGCAATCAATTACTTTTTTATTTAATTTTTTAAAGGCTAACCGTGATTAGAAATCAGTTTTAGGCTTCAACTTTCAGGACTGCTACTCTCTGTCCGCCTGCCCTTTGACCTCTCACTGTAAAAACACTGTGCCCTGTTTGTTGCTTCCCATTTATAGCTCTGCTTTGTTGAGAGTGGATACAGATCTGACCCAAGATATGAGATTCTGAAAGTGCTAAAGGTGGTTTTATTTCAGGTTTTTTTCTTTCTTTGACAGGACAGTTTTACTCTCTGGCTGAGCTTCCTCTTTTCTTCCACAGCTGCCTGTTTTCTTATTATCTCTCAATGTCATTGTGATTCACATTTAAATTCCAACCTAGAACGAACTCTGGATGAATGACAATTACTGTATAATACAAGATGTCAAAACAAACAGGTTTAATATGCCTCGCTGGTATCAACAATTTACCTTCTGTGTCTAAGCGTTGTCAGCAGTCTGGTAGATTGAGACCTCACATGCCCAAAAAAGGTTAAATTGTGATCAAATCAGGACTTCTTAACTTATTTTTTTTTAAAGAGTTACATTTATAGCTGGGGGAGTAACAATGACGTATGAAACGTTGGATTATAATTCAGCCTATTAATTCACGCTCTCAAATCGAGAAAAATAGACCTCCCTCTCCTTTGCGTGAACCTTATCTGACCCCAAATGGGGTTTGAACCTTGAGAATAAAAAGCTAGGTTTTTTTTACTCTCTGGTTTGGTTGATGAAGATCATGTAGCATAACATCAATGACTACCTATTGCTGGGACCTCAGTCGCACCGTGCCCGGAGGTAAACGGTGGGCTATATGCAGACCCTGATGCAGACACGTTTTGACAGATTCCCAAGCAGAGAGAGTTTCAGTAGGGATAGGGGCGTTCACCGGCAAGTGTCAAACTAACAGTTGCGTCAATTTCCCACATATACACAGAAGGTGGCAGGACACCCAGCTAATCTTCCTTATAATAAAAGCACCGAAACTCGCTTTCAAAAACTGAACGAAAAAAACAACAACCAACTAACTCCGAATGTTTTGGAAATCCAATCAATGTCTATTTAAGATAGTTCCAGATGTCAATGTTACCAGACATATGTGGGTTTATCATGTAACCTTTGTGACAGTTACAACAACACCGCTTTTATTTTGAAAGGACAACACGGAAGTGACCCTTGTTTTCCCGTTAGCTTGACACGTTTCACTAACTGTCCGCCCTGCCCTGCTTGAGTTTGCAGTTGAGTGCGCCAGGGCAACACGGCTGTATTATATAACTTTAATGTAAGCTACTCACGGGTTTAATGGCGCAAGAGCAGAATATCGCGCCGCAGATCTGTGGATTCATTGCGGAATTATCCTGAACTCGAGTGCAAGTGAGCGATTGATCACTTTTTCCCTCCTACTGGCGACGTGCGTTAAAAGTTATCGACAGATCGGCGGCACGTCGCACTCGGTGGATCCTGTCAGCTTCAGACAGGTCGGCGTCGTTGTTGACTTTAGTTAAAAAATAGTTGCTATTGCAGACGATGTTTTCCTTCCGTTTGAGGAGAGGGGTGACAACGAATCAATTTGACATTTCACCACGCAACATTACAGCAAGGAAGGTGTTTTATTCGAGTGTGTGACTCTGGGGACATTGCGTTATTTCTCACAATTTTTCCAAGTTGGACTGACAGGAGATGAGCTAACCGGCGGAACACATCGTGCTTTCACTACAGGTATGGTCTGTTTATAATGCAACCACTTGGTTTACCTTTGGACACATATCAAGAGAGGCAAACGCTGGTTGTTTCCACTAATGTAGGCCGACGATGTGCGTCCCCGGTGGTGGGCGCACTGACAGCCCTGCACCGTGCGACCCACTGATATCACCAACATCGCTCAGAGCAAGCCTCTTATTTTTGTAAGGAACAGAAAGTGATGCAAATAGTGCCGCTTATTCGGGTCTCCGGTTGTAGGCGTTCGATCAGTGCAATTTCCTATTGCAGCCAACAGGTTGCAGTAATGCCGTAATGATGTGTTGTGCTCTTCGGTGGAAAAGTACAGTAAGCTTTAGCAAGTCATTAAGCTCCAAACTTTTTAAAAACTTTGAAATACCAAGGATTGTTTTACCTTCCTAAAAATGCATTACAACAACAATCTCAATTTAATCTCAAAATGAATTTGATGTTAATGCAGTGGTGAAACATATGACCAAAACAACCTGTCTAATTATCCACCATGGGAGATAGATTTGTTATTTATATCTATAGAAATAACACATGTGAAACCAGTGAGAGTCCTACATGACTCTGCATGTCTTTACCTCACTTTAAAACACAGAGCAGCAGTAGATTTTCAAAAGAAAGTGCTGTAAACCGCTGCTCATATAGCACCATATAGGCTGTCTTTTATGTGCTGTATGCAACCATGTCGTCTTGGAATTTCATAGCCAATGCTAAAGTCGACAAAAAAATTAAATAGAGTGAATCTGTGTATTGCATTGATCTTAAACTCAAAGGAAATTATGCAGTTGTTGTTACTTGATTTCTTTATCAAACGGTAACTGTTTTTATTTGACATTTACTGCATATAAAGGACTATGATGAAGGACTGTTTTGTCATGTAGTTAGAGACACTGACTTTGACAAAGTTAAATTGCCACAAGTGACTGCTTTCCTGGATACTTATTTTCTGTCCCTCCAGATATCGTTGTTAATGATCAACAGTTACATGAGTGAGCTCCAGAACTCTTGCACACAGGCTTCTGTTGCAGAGGTTTCTACCACATTATTTGACTACATACATTTCATTTTTATTACACTTCACTAACACTTCCAGTTTTGTAAATTGGAGTCTTGAATGAATTGTTAATTTACTCTCTTTTGCAAAGTGAGATAGGCAGTTATTGGTGACCGCTACAAATGCCCACAGGCCCATTGTGGGTTAATCTCTTTCGACGGATGTATGTTGTTGCACACATGCTTGACTGTATCTGGGACTGTCAGTTACACAACTTATGCCTGGGCATGTCTCCCACTACTTGATGCTTAATTTGAGTGGAGGGCATAGTTCAAGGGAATAACATGTACATTATAGTCCTTTATGTTATGTAATTGCAGTGGTCTTCATTTTTTTCCTATACTGATTTTGCTCAGTAAGGTTTATGCCATGTGTGCTTCTGCCATATTGCTACTGTGTGGGTGTCAAAAGAGGAGATGGCCTATTTGATATAGTTGTTGTCATTTTTGAAAAATATAAATAAATAAGACATTGTTGTTGGCACAGTCACAGTAGTAGATGTAAGCCTTGCACTTGTGCACTTTTAAATGCACCTTAACTCATTTGTAAATGGATGTCATAAGACATTACTGTGACAGATCCAGCAAAAATAGCTACTGGGTTATGTATCATCTTATCTGCATCAACTTTTATATAGACTAACCTAGCCTCTCATCTCTCTCACTCTGTGTTTGTTGTGCACTCTTTCACTATCTTGTCAGGATAAAGAAATGGATCAGGGTAGACTGAAGTGCAACGGTAATCAAGACGACAGCCTGACATTTGGGGAGACAGGATCCGGAGTAGGCAGGGAAACGGGTGACACAGTTGGTTTACTGCTCCAGTCTGCAGGGCACCTGCTCGGTCCCAGGTCTATGCCCCATCCCACAGTGGCCGCGAATGGACATGGTGTAACCAAAGATCAAGGGCAACTTGGAGGCCTCTTTGATTCTCCTCAGCATCACATCCAATGTGAGGGCTCAGACATGAAGGAGGGTAAGATCACCAGAATGCAGAAACAACACCAGGATAGCGGTGTATTTAACATTGAGGACAACCTGCCGTTGTTGAAACAGAATATTTCCAATCTCAACAGTCCGGCCCCCTCTGTCATCAGCACCTCAGTCTCCTCCATCCTGGGGAATCTCCCTCTGCCTGATCTTTTTCCCCAACACATCAAGCAGGAGGGACATTTTTCTACGGATAAAGACATGGAAAATTACAGCTGTAACACGGGTGTAAGGCTGTGTGATTTAGATGAGAAAGGCAGTTGCCTAATGGAGGATTCTGAAATGTGGCAAGACCTGGACCTTCCTAATTCTCTGCCAGAAATTAGCGATTTTGAGTTGGATTCAGAAGTGGCACACTTGGATAACATCCTACATGACAGCAGGGGTAGAGGCGGTCCTGTCAGCGGCTTGCTAAAAGAAACAAAGCCTCTGGTGGGTAACGGAGTAAACTGCAACAATGTGAACGGCACGGACCAGCAGCACCAGCCCATCCACCATCAGCAGCAGCAGCACCACCTTCTACAGCACCAGCTCCATCACCAGCAGCAGCCTGCACCTCTGCTCTCCAGCGTTATGATCAAGGAGGAGAAGGATCCTGATGACTCTTTCATTCACATCCGTACTCCTGGTGTTGTGAAACAGGAGAAGCAGGAGAATACAGGGTTCTGCCAGTCGCAGTGTCTGCAGAGCAGCATGAGTTCTCTACATGGAGGAAGCTCCATGTCTTCCCCTATGGGCGTCGATGCAGGAACTTCGTACCTATACAGAGCCAACCCATCCTCCACAGTGGGCCTACAAGACCAAGAGCCTTTTAGCATGTACTCAAACCTGCCTCTGGTGGGGGAGACCTGGGCCAGGGGGAACCGGTTCGGAGAGTCGTCCGGGTTGCAGAGGGGTGACGACGGACTCCCCTCCGCTGCAGCCTTGGCAAGTTTTTCTGTCAACTTCTCAAGGTAAGTCTCATGGAATTAGTTTATCCTACTCTGTTGACTTTTGCATCTGTGGCGGCTTTGGTGTTGGCTCTCATTCATGGAATGTTTGACTTTGTTTTTGTGTGCTCAGAGGTTATTTGCTTGTCTGTAAAATATGTTTAAAAATGTCAGTTGACGGTTATTCATACTGCACTGCAGTCTTAGACAGCTTGGGTCTAGACTCAGCTACTCAGCTAGAGGTTTGCCACCTTTTCTGAACCCAAACATTTTGTCGGAATCATTTGTACATCATATATTCATAACAGAACATGTTTGCAATATAACCGTAAAGACCAAACACATTGGATTGGACTATTAATGTCCACTTTTTTATGCAACTCGTTTGTTGATCAAAGGCATTTGATTATAAAATACGGGAATAACCTGACAGTTAAGAGACAAAGTGTGGAATATGTTCTCCTCAGAATTCCCCAACATATTTTTGCACTGTGTCTCCAGCATCCACAGAACATGATCTGTGCCCTGTCCATGCTCCTGAAATCAAATCAGACTCAGGGTGATGTATCAGAGCACTTCAATTCCCTGCAGGAAACCTTCAGTGTGCATTTGGGAAATGAAAGCAGTCGGTTGGTTTCACAGCATTTAGGCTGGCTCTCCACTGGGATTCTAGCACAAAATAAACATCACTTCAATAAGCCCCAAAAAATAGTACTCAGGTGTGTTTGTTTGTGACATTTTATTTGTAAGGTAAGTACTAGCACCCCTGGGGAGGAGGGCATCTGGCACTTATTGCCTCCAATAGGCAGACGCAGCAGGACACACATTCCTCCAATTCTCCACATCACATAATTTTAAGAATGCCATGAAAAATAAAATACATTTGTCATTGCATTAGGAATACAGTCTTTTTTATTTATACATATTGCCAGGAGAGGCAGATAAGAGAAAAGGAGATGAACTAGTTGCTGTGTTACAAGGAGGCAGTAGGGAAAAGAAAGACTGTTGACTAAGGTGTATAAACATTTCTTATCTTTGGGGATTCCACAATCTAGATAATGTTCTTGTGGTTGCTTAATATTTGTATGTTGAAAAAATATACTTTTTGAAACAATTGTGAAATTGTTCACATACACATCAACTATGCTCTGCCTTCTGGGATTTTTTGTGTTGTAATGCATTGCTTGTTAAAGAAGATATCACAGAGTTACGTAAATGTGTCCTTCCTTCAGTAAATTGCTTACTGAGAAATGAGTTATGTGAGAAAATCATGCAGCAAGCAAAATGAGAATTGTCTGGTGGGCACACTACAATTCAACTTGGATCTGATAACAAAACTGGCTGTGAGTAGAACTTTGAAAGAGAGAGATTCATTTATGAGCTTTGTGACCATGAATGGGCAGATCACAAGATGTGTTTGATTAATGCAGAGTAATAATGTGAGTCAGTACTGTCTTTCTGAAACAGCCATTTAGGTGATGGCTCAGGCTGCTATGTAAACAAGTCAAAATGAACACGGGTGTCAGCTAATGCTATCTCCCTGCTGTCACACTGATATGCTCATGTGTTCCTTAGCTATTAATTAGACTGTGGAAAAGTCTCCTTGCCATGGTTCATAGGTCTAAACTGTTTGTTTTTCTTGTATTTTTTAAACATATAAATATAATAGATAAAAGTAGACTTGAGTATTGCCACAAACACTTACACTATGTGGCCCTTCAGCTGAAATGCTCCTCGAGCTCTGTTCCTAAATATCTATAGACCACCCAAATACTGTGCAAGCTTTTTTGATGACTTTACTGAACTGCTGTCTATAGTGTGTATTGACTTTGACCGTCTAGTCATTGTTGGTGATTTTAACATCCATGTTGACAACCCCCAGGACAGAGGGTCTAAAGAACTGTTTTGTGTTCTTGATAGCTATGGACTGACTCAGCATGTGACGGAGCCCACGCACAATAAGGGGCACACTCTGGACTTAATTATCTCAAAGGGTCTGAATATCTCTAAGATTGTGGTGACTGATGTTGCACTCTCTACTTATTCCTGTGTTTTCTTTGAGAGCTCTATTTCTGTTCACAACATTTTTCAAAAAGAGGTAACCACAAAGCGATATTTAACTGAAAATACTAGGGAAATGTTTACTCAGAATTGTTCTTCCATACTTGCCCCTGCTAACATCTCAGTAAATTAGCTAGTAGATCATTTTAATTCAAAAATTAAAAATGTTATAGATGCCATTGCTCCAACTAGGGTAAAGGAAGTGACTGGGAAGAAAATATCTCCATGGAGAAAGGCCATGACCGTGAGAGCAGAAAAAAGAGTGTCGAAAAGCTGAACGTAGGTGGCGAAAAACAAATCTCCAGGTTCACTTTGAAATCTATAAAGAGAGACTTGGCCTTTATAAGTTGGAATTGAAAAACGCACGACAGTCTTTCTTCTCTGACATTGTTACCAAAAACAAAAACAACGCATGTGCCTTGTTTGCTACCGTCAACAGATTAACTAACCCCCCAGTGTCAGTAGCCTCTGAATTTCTATCCACTAGGGCATGCAATGATTTTGCCTCCTTCTTCACTGACAAAATTCAGAAAATCAGACAAGCAGTCAGTGCCTCTGCATCAGGTACAGCAAATGTGTTGTTCCTATGTCCACCTAATATCAATTCAAACACCATGACACAATTCCATCAGATTAATGATAAAAACCTAGAGGACATTATTCAACTTCTGAAATCCTCCTCTTGCTGCCTTGATATTATTCCAACAGGATTTTTCAAAGATGTTTTGGCTTGCATGGCCTCAGATCTACTTCATATAGTAAACAAATCTCTTCACTCAGGTATTTTTCCACAGGCCCTGAAAACTGCAGTCATTAAACCGCTCCTAAAAAAGAATAATATAGATGCTTCAGTAATGAACAATTACAGGCCCATATCAAACCTCCCATTTCTAGGTAAAATCATTGAAAAAGTTGTTTTTCAACACTTGAGTAATTTCTTGCATTTAATTAACTGTTTGGATGTGTTCCAGTCAGGCTTTCGTCCAAACCACAGCACTGAGACTGCTCTTTTAAAGGTCTTTAATGACATCCACTTAAACACAGACAGTGGCAGAACTTCAGTGTTAGTATTATTAGATCTCAGTGCTGCGTTTGACACTGTTGACCACAGCATATTACTGGACCGACTAGAAAACTGGGTGGGACTTTCGGAAACAGTTCTAAATTGGTTTGAATCCTACTTAAAGGACAGAAAAAACGTTGTTTCTATAGGTCAGGGGTGGGGAACCTTTTTCCTCTCAAGGGCCATTTACATTTTTACAATATCCTCCGAGGGCCGTATACAAGTTATTGACCTCTGCTTAAAAATACTAAAATCACAGATTCATTTGGCCTTTCTTTCATGCTGTGCAAAGAAAAAACAACCTCTTAATCCAGATATTTTTACCATGACTCGCGCACGCATGCATGCACGTGCACGGTTGTGGCATGACCACCAAAACAGAAAGATATTGGACACAAGATGTGTGCAAATGTATTTAATTTCCTATCCATGTGGACGTGATTTAAGTGTGGGGACCTCCTCTAGGGGGGGCCTAACCTCCTCTAGGGGGGTCTGGGGGGCATGCTCCCCCGGGAAGATTTTTTTTAAATGTTGAAGTTAAAAGCATCAATCTGGTGCACTTTGAGAGCAAAATGAAGAGATCTCTGGATACATCTCTCAACACCCATTTGAAACAGAACTGTAAGCAGATTTATTTTTCTTTATGGATATTTTACAAATCACTCCCCTTTCAAACTCTATTCTTGTTTATTAATAACAACTTTTTTTACTGTCATATAGTATTTTATATCTGTTTACTTTATTCTCTTATTTTTTTATAATGATCATATAAAGATGTGCCTTTTGTGACAGATGAACAGATCGCCACTGGGCTTTCAACTAAAGACACAGCCACGCAGAAACTGCGGCATGTGTACGGCTCCTTATGGGTACTGCAATTTCTGAAGTGCCGGAGCGAGGTTCTGGTACTCTCCGGCAGAACTGCACCCCTCTCAGACGAGACCTATACCACGTGATGACACGTTAGGCTCGTGTTGTGTTCAAGGACCCTGACCTTGGCTAGGAAAAACAGGCACTCGCTTGTTTATTTTTTTTGCGGTCTAGATTTCTCTAATTTTTTTCTTTTTTGCTTGTGTTTATAAATTACCTCGAGGGCCGTACCAAATGGTCTCGCGGGCCGTATACGGCCCGGGGGCCGGAGGTTCCCCACCCCTGCTATAGGTAAATAAACATCTGAGTTGACAAATATGACATGTGGGGTACCTCAAGGCTCCATCTTGGGGCCTCTTCTCTTTAACATCTACATGCTACCACTGGCTCAGATAATGAAAAACAACAAAATAAGTTACCATAGCTATGCGGATGACACACACATTTACGTAACAATTTCACCAGGAGACTATGCTCCAATTCAAACACTGAGTAAGTGCATTGAACAAATCAATGACTGGATGTGTCAGAACTTTCTCCAATTAAACAAAGATAAAACTGAGGTAATGGTTTTTGGAGCCAAGGCAGAACGTATAAAAGTTAGCGGTGAGCTTCAGTCTGCAATGTTCAAAACAACAGATAAAGCCAGAAATCTAGGTGTAGTCATGGACTCTGACCTGAGTTTCAACAGTCACATTAAAACAGTTACTAAATCAGCCTACTATCACCTAAAGAATATATCTAGGATTAAAAGACTAATGTCACAGCAGGATTTGGAAAAACTTGTCCATGCTTTTATCTTCAGTAGACTGGACTACTGTAATGGTGTCTTCACAGGTCTCACTAAAAAATCTATTAGAAAGCTGCAGCTAATTCAGAACGCTGCTGCTCGAGTCCTCACTAACACTAAGAAAGTGGATCACATCACTCCTGTTCTGAAGTCTTTACACTGGCTTCCTGTGTGTCAAAGAATAGATTTCAAAATACTGCTGCTGGTTTATAAAGCTTTGAATGGTTTAGGCCCAAAATA